GGGGCGCGCCTCTTCGCTGCAGCAGCGCCTCAGCGCCACGCTCCGGGGCTCGCGGCCCGGCCCGCGCGCATCCCCGGCGCTCCTCCAACGCGCGGGTCCCGCAGCCCGGGAGCGGACGGCGGGACGGACTCTTTGTTACCTCGCTTCCGCGGCTTCCGCGAGCGGGCCGGGTCGGAGCGCACGGGAGCCGGGAGAAGGGGAGTCGACCTCGCGCAGGGGGGCTCGCGAACGCCTCAGCGCTCCCAGCGCCGGGCGCCCCGCCCGGGTTCCCCTGCAACCCCCACCGGCCTGGGGGCCTTCGCTAACGTCCGTCGCGCTTCGGGAAACTCAACTCTGCGCCGTCGGTCTGGGCCGCGGTTTCCTGAAAGCCAGCGGAGGGGTCCTGATGTGGGAACGCAGGCGCCTAGAGCGGATGCCTATATATTTCAAAATTGAGGATGGCTTATAACCTTTGAGGAGCTTAGGGGGCGTTTTATTAGTATCACTTCTTCGTATTTGCCCGTTTCAGGGCTGTATTTTAATGGTTTTCATCATGAAGTTTAAAAAATAAAAGGGCAGATGTGTAAGGCGTATCTCTGGGCACCCCTATTTTGGTGGCCACGAGACTGCTGCTCGGACCACCCCGAGGGGCGGGGAAAGGGTGGTCCCTGGACCTGCTTTTTGGCCCCCAACATGGGGCGGAGACGCGGAAAGGCGCTGGAAACCCGGAACTGGGCTTCTCAGACTTTTTACGGTCTAAGTCAGTGCTTTATTTTATTCCGTTGTCAGCGCCTGCGCCTTCAGGGAACCGGTACAGGAAACAGCGCGGGGCTTCAGTCTGGGGTCCGGCTGACGCGCTGCAGCTACTCGCTGCTGGCTGCCTGCCGGTGCGCGGTGACCTGCGGACTGTCCTGCTCGTCTCGCAATGGCCAGATTCTGGGTCTGCGTGGCCGGCGCCGGGTTTTTAATTGCATGTGTGATTTTGCATGGGCGTCTATGTGGCTCGGGGGTAAGTCGATTAGTGAGGAAGTCAATGTCGTGTAGTCTAGATGGGGTGCTGCTCGGCGGTCTTAGAATGTTAGATGGTGGTCCTGCTCCCCTCCTGCACCAGCTCATACCTTGGTCTTGAGGCCGAGCTTCTGACAAGTCGCCTGGTCTCTTTGTTAAAGTATCCCCAGCTCTCAGGAGGCCGAAGCAGGAGGATCGTTGCGAGTTCGAGACCAGCCTGAGCTACAAAGTGAACTCAATCAAGGCCAGCCTGAACTACGTAGTGAGACCCTATCTCAAAAAGACAAAAAAAAAAAAAAAAAATGTCGACTTCGATGGCATTTTCTTCTTCAATTTCTATTACAACCTCAAATAATTTACAGAGTTTATTGTGGTCATTTGGGTCTTGTAAGCCCATTTCTTAGGAATCAGTTCAGTCCAACAAACTTCAAGCCCACCCATTTTCTTATCTAGAGGGCAAACTGAATTGTAATCTTCTGGTTTCACTTAAGGTATTAAGGAACTTTGTTTTTCAAGTTTCCTGGAGAACTGAGAAACTTCTTTACCGGCTGGATTTGGATTGGCCTAATTATCCAGAATACTTCACTGGAACAACATTCTGTGTTGCAGTTGATTCTCTGAGTGGCTTGGTTTATGTAGCTCAAGTAAGTAAAATGAGAATTTTTTTTTTTTTTTTTGAAGTGAACATAAGGAAATTACGGAGTTTCTGTTTTACTGTGCTAAGTAGCTGTATACATTTCAGTCATACTTAGGAGACTTAGGGGGTTTCGAGTAAATATTTTTATTTTTGAATGTGATATTCTGCAAATACTAGGTTCTGAAGTTGATTTTTTCAGACATTACAAAATTTCTCAATTAACCTTTCAATTTTGTTTCTCTCTTGACAAAGTGAAGATTACCGTTCCTTAATACGGATCTGATCTAAGCAGTTATTTTTGTATACCTTCAGAGAGGGGATAGCATCCCCAAAGTCTTAGTGTTCACCGAGGATGGTTATTTCCTAAGAGCCTGGAATTATACGGTTGATACACCTCATGGTATGTTTGCAGCCAGTACACCCTACGAGCAGTCAGTCTGGATCACAGATGTGGGAAGTGGTAGGTATGGCTGTTAAATCACCTTACTGGAAGTCACATCCTTGTCCTTGTTCTTGCTTATAAATGTTAAAATCAGAGTTGATGAGGGACTTTTTCTCTTTAAAAGCCATCAGTTACTCTTCTCAAACGAATGCCACACCTCTTCCACAATGCCAGATAAAATGATGCACTTCTAAAGAGAATTGATGGAATCACTGGCTCATTTTCTTTACCACTTGTCTTTCAAAAAAGATTTGTGGGGCCGGGGAGAGAGCTCAGTAGAATAAGTGCTTGCCTGGCAAGCGCAGGATCCTGAGTTCAATATCGGGTACTGCAAAAAAAGAGAGAGAGAGAGAGAGAGAGAGAGAGAGAGAGAGAGAGAGAGAGAGAGAAAGATTATGCTAAGAAGCTGTAATTGCTTTGTTGTCCAGAGTGCAAAGAAACTGGTGGTCATCTCGTGGCTTTGGACAGATATGTCTGACAGAGTATGTCTGCAATCCTTCCCACTAGCAGGTATTTTTAGTAAACAATGTTAAAAAGAGAAGTAGAAACCATTGAAATTATAGATATGAGGGCCAGGGTTATAGCTCATTGGCATAGGCATCCACCTGGGAAGCGCAAGGTCCTGAATTTGATTCCTGTTACCAAAGAAAGAGAAAGAAATGACAGGATGGAGGAAATATTCAGAGAAGGCAGTTTATTTATGCCACTGAACTGACGCAGCAAAACCAGAGAAGGGCTGGAGGCTCCTTAGCAAGGAGGAAGGTACAGGATCATTAAAGTACAATACTTCTCATTTCCTCACCCTGAACATGTTCTTGACTTGAAAGACAGCCTGTTTCCCCAGGTTTCCGGGTAATTCAGATACTTTTTTAAAAATCAATTAATGAGGGCTAAGTTTTTATAAATCATGCCATTACCACACGATGCATCTTCTCAGAACTTAAAGATTTCTGGGCCACAGATAATAGAGAAAGCACTTATTGTATGTATTTTAGATGGTAAAAATGTGGCTGAAACAAAAAATCTGTAGAGTATCCCAGTTTATTTTAAAACTGTAATGAGATTTACCTGTTTTTAGTCTTTTTTTCCCCTCAGTCACTGCGCAAGATCGTCTTTGATTTCACTCTGTTCATGTATTCTTAAGACTTCCTGATTCCCAGAAGTAAAAAGAGCATAACCCATCTCATTTTTTCCATTATAGCTTATTTCCCTACCAACAGATCTAGTTGGCGTTGTGTTTCTTTCCCCCATTTTTAAAAGGAATGGATTTTTTTTTTAAATGAAAACATAGCTGCAATTAGCCATTTTCTTAAAAAACTTTATTTACTAATATTCTATCCTGCTGGTTAATTCTTCAGATACTTTGAGGTTTGCTTTCTCTAACAATACTCTTGTTATTGCTTTGTACTTTAGCTTAAGTGTACAAATCAAGTATAATAAGAATACGCTTTTCATAGTGCATATTATAATGCTGACTCAGTTTATTTCTGGCACGCTAGCATATTCAGTTAGCCTTTTGCATACCTATCAGTTAGTTGTATGCCTTCACATTTATTTCCGTTAACTGCTTTATATATTTCCCATATTTATTAGTGTTCTGCTTTATTCTTTTACTTATAAGGTCATTTTAATTCAAAGGCTGCTTTTCTCTAAGAAAAGAGAAGTTTATGGGTTTAATTTTGAATTTGTTTCCACTAGAAGAAATTTTTTTTAAAGTTTTATTACAGAGGATTTTTGTTGATCTAAAATTTAAGATCTGTATATAAATGATTGAAATGATAGCTTTGAATGTAAATTGTTCCTTTTGTGCTTGCTTCCTGATTTTCTTTTATAAGCAATGCTTTCTTAAGGTCATGAGATTAAAAAGTGCTGCACAAGTAACTTTTTTTTTTTTTTTTTTTTTCCAAAGGGACTTTTTTTGGTCTTATTTTCAGTATTTTCTTTTTTGGTACCGGGAATCGAACTCGGGGCCTCGCGCTTGCTAGGCAGGTGCTGCGCCACCGAGCCACATCCCCGGCCCACAAGTAACTTTTTAAGCATGAACTTTCTATATGCATTAATTTTTTGCTTATTTTTTCAAGTTAGAGTCTCCTTATTTTGGAGTAAGATTTTAATTCATAAACAAATTTAGCTGTACTAGATATTCTGTTTCTTATCTGTCATAGCAATAAATTATCTGAGTCTATCAAACTTCTCACTGTAATTACAAGATTTTTGTCCTCTGCTCATTTGAAAACTGTATGTTACCTAGTGGTTTTATTTGTGGCATGTACATGTCTGCTTTACAGGATCCTATGGTCATACTGTTAAGAAGTACAATTCATTTGGTGATCTTGTTCAAGTCTTGGGTACTGCAGGCAAGAAAGGCACTGGACTGAATCCTCTGCAGTTTGATAATCCTGCAGAATTATATGTGGAAGACACAGGAGACATTTATATTGTTGATGGAGATGGAGGATTGAATAACAGATTAATCAAACTGTCCCAAGGTACATGGCTTAATTTTATGTGGTATTGTAAAATATTATTTTATAAATTAGATTTAATTTTTTAAATACATAGTATAGTACATTACTGTGATAGAATTGAAGTTTTGTGTAACAGAGTAAAACACATTACCAGGAGAAACCGAAAATTTTGATAGGAGTGTCAGTAGTGAGTAATTCTGCTGTCATGAGTGCTTATATTTCACCAATGGCTGAAGTTTCCTCCATGAAGAACTAGAGGGAGTTTGAGAATTTATGGTCATTTTGAGATCAATGGATAGTTTATCCAGTTAAGAATGAAGTTAGGAATCTATAATCCCAGAGTCAGGTGTCCTACAAGCTAATTATCTAGCCATATTGTCATTATGGCACTATTCTGTGTCCTTACAAAGTAGCAGTGAAGGTAGGTTAATTATTATTTTTTATGAGACAATGAAATATAATCCATGGTAATAATTTTGCAAATAAAACATTAGAAGAAGGATAAACGAAATTGACTAGAGCAGTAGGACAAGATGAATTTCATGAAGTATTCCTTGAACTGCATTGCTCTTGGTGGAGGGGGCTGGGCTGGCCAGTGTTCAGGCCTTTCCTTACAAGGTCTCCAGGTAATCAGTGGGCAAATAAGATTAAGGGTGTGTTTGAAACTTACCTGAAGAGTTTAGAAACTGCATTTTGTCTATAGCACTGGTGCAGCTCGCAACCCAGAGGCTCACCATCACTGGCCTATAGAGACTCTTGAAAGTTTTGGTAGAAAAATTGGTATAGGAGAATGAAACTCCCAACCTGAAAGGTACCTGGGACAAGTTTGTGTTCTCTAAAATCGAGGAATGAATTTTAGGAACAAACAGAGGTTAAGAGCAGAATATATTTATTGGGGAATGAAGACTTCTGTCCAAGAGAGGGACTGAAGGGGGGCCCCCGAGTGGGTGGTCCCCGGGAAGCTGTTTCTTCGAGGGACTTTTATCATGTAGTGAGGCAGATCTAAGTTGCTAGAGAACATGGGAACTCGCTTAGGTGGGCATGAGGTGAGACAAACTATGGCCAACCAATGAGATTACAAGCACCATTGCTCAGGTAAAATTGATTATAGTACCAAATGAGGAAGCAAATCACAACAAGCAGCATGAATACAGGAGAAGTCCCTTCCTGTTGGCTTAGTGACTCTTTAAGACTCTTTCAAGGAGACTGATACCTAGTTAGAATATCAGTCCCTGATGCCCATCCCTGGGGAAGTATGTGGCTGCATTTGTTTGCTGTTTTGTCTTGAGGTCTGGCCCATACTGGAGTGTCTGTCTCTTCTAAAGTTGCCGAATCACCATGTGTTCTGTATTGCCTCCTGGAGAGCCTGGCCCGTCTGACTGCCTATAATATTTCGGTCTAATTTAGCTGCCTACAATAAAATGATTTTTGAAAAACAGAGGGTTTTTTTTTTTTTTTTTTAAATGTGTTTAGTACAGGGTCTCACTACCTAGAAGGAACTCTGAAAACTTCCTGTTTTCAGAGTCTGGAGAGCTGGGATTATAGGCGGGTGCCACCATGCCCAGGCTCAGTCTGTCTCAGAGCGCCCCAGGGGCAGGGTCGGCACAGCTCGCTGGTGATTGAACCCTGGTCCCTGCATCTGCCTAAGCAGGTGGAAAAGCAGAAGTTTTATATAAAAAAAAAACAGTATTACATTAGATGTACAGAGTGTATCAAAAAATGTATATACACTTAAGGGAAAAAAAACTTGTATAAATATTTTAATACTAAATTTATTAGGACACCCTGAGATTGATACAAGTTACCTTTGGCCTCTACAGGTATAAGAGGTGCTCAAGGTGGTGGTCATTACCCATCAGACATTTATTGGAATGGCAAGCTACTGCTCGGTCACCTCAGGGTGTCCAGTGAGATTGCTGCCCATACATCTTCAACTCTTCTTGAAGGATTGACAGAGTAGTGGGCTTTCTGTGGTATCCAACGCTTCTAGGGTTCCCCTATATGAGGGTAACACCATCTGTTGAAAAATTCCGTACTATTTTTCTTTTCCTTAAGTGTGTACACATTTTCTTTGGCAGACTGTGTATCTCATAAGTTCCATTATTTGGAGGTTCTGTAGACAATTTATCACTTAATAATGAATCTGATCAGTCATAGTTGAAGGAAGGTGGGGTAGAGCAAATCTAGAACCTATAAACTTCTATGAAAAAAAAAAAACTTCTGTGAAAGAAGGAAGCATACCAAATTTAGGAAATAGCTAGGGTATCAATGTATTAGCTCCTGTAGCCACCTTTAAAAATCACTTCAGAGTGGTTTTAAAACACAGTAAATTTATTCTCACCACTTTTGGGACCCAGAAGTCTAAAACTCAGGCTCCTCTAGCCTCAGTCGTACTCAGTCAGGTAGCACTCATCTCTGCCTCCATCTTCCTCGGGCCCCTTCTCTTGGTCTTTGTGTTTTAAATATTCTTCCTTTCCATTTTAAGGATTTAGGACCTAACTCTAAATTCATGATAATCTTAACTCAGGATTCCTAATTTACTATTATCTGCAGGCATAAGAGGTTAGGATATGGGTAAATGTTTGGAGGACCACAGTTCAGAATTGTAGATTGGTTAACAAGGGAGACACACCGTAAAAAACATATCGTGAGTTTTCAAGCTCAATGAAATAATAATACCAAATACCATTGTTGGGAAGAGGAACCAGTTTGAGGAAAAGGATGACATAAATACTAAACAGTGATTTTGAAGCAATTGTGAAAAAATTCAAATGGAGATAATTCAAGAAGTAGATTGTTTGAAGCAGTGTACAAATTAGGCAAGTGGGTATATGAAGCCAGGAGAGAATAAGTTAGTGGAGACATAAGTAAATAGTTTTTGGCAATTTGAAAAATGTAACATACAAATGTAGAAGGCATTCTATCTGATCTGGTGACTACAAATATTTATCGTTTATAGATTTCATGATCCTTTGGCTGCATGGAGAAAATGGGACGGGGCCTGGAAAATTCAATATACCGCACAGTGTTACACTTGATTCAGCTGGCCGGGTAAAAATACAGTGTCATTGTGTCTGGACAGTTGCGCATGCATGTGTGTGTAAGCGTACCTAGATCTGGCTGCCTGGGCATGTTCGTATAGATCGCTGTCCTGTGCATGTGTGTGTCTCGGATGTGTGGCTGTGCGTGTTGCTTAGTAGGTAGTCTGAGCAGTCCTCTGGAGTTGGGAGCCTCACCGATGCCAGATCCTGTGCTGAGGGGTCCTCAGGTATGCGATGACGTGCAGAGTGGATGAGAAAGAACAAAACAGTGGGTACAAATGAAGTTACCTGAGAAGTGCTGCCCTCCCAGGCAAAAAGAAATGTTTCAGTTCTTTCAGCTTATGAGCAAAGAATGTGTTGATTGAAAATGGGTAGAAGAGATTAATCTTGTTTTTCGGTCCTGGAGATAGAGCCCAGGGCATTTGAACTATATCTCCATTCTTTTTTTTTTTTATTATTATTTCCTACTTGGAGACAGGATCTTGCTCAGTTTCCTAAACTGAGCTTGAACTAGAGGCTAGTCTTCAAACCTTTTTTCTCTCCTGAAAGTAGCTTTCACTAGCAAATTTCAATGCAATTCTCTCCTTTCTGTCCGCCTTTTTGTCTTTTAACAACCCTCTAAGCAGGCATACCACATTGAGGTTGTCTTTGTACAACCAAACTTCCAGCAAACGTTTTTATATTAAGTTCACATTTTCCAGTTGTGGCCTTTAATCTCTTTTATGTCAATTGTCACGTATACTGTAGTCATTTAATTGTCTATTTCCTATAATAGGTTGTAGGCTATATAAAGGCACACACTGAACCTCTTGCTTAATGTCTTACTGCTTGGAGCATAGTAGTCATAGGTATTTCTTATATGACAGAGCATCTGGATTCCCGGTAGATACACCACGCTGCTTGCCCGTATACCAGTATACACCTCATCTATTTCTACTTTTGATTTTGTGCAAACCAGACAACCTTCTAATTTGGAGTTCTTCAGTGATAACCATGTATAAATGTTTTGATCATTAAGTACTCCTATCTACCATAAGAAGTTAACTGACCAAATGAACTTTTTTATGTGCCAGGGATCACATTCAGGACTTTATGCTTGCCAGGCAGGTGCTTATGCCCCTGAGCTATCTCCCTGGTCCACACTTTATATATAAACTGAGCACTAGACTAGAAAGATAGACTTCTGTTTTTACATGTTAGCCTCTGAACTCAGTTAATTATTTTCCTTGTAACTAAGAAAAAGTCCAAACTCCACAGCATGGAAACCTTCCTCCCAGGCAAATACTGCATGGCTAGCAGTGTCCTGGGAGGCCTCGGAGATGACCTGCTGAGAGCTTTCTGGCATTACTGAGTCGTGAAGATGACTGTTAGGATGCATGTGCTTTTGCTTTTTCTAACAGCAGTACTATTGGAAGCATTTAAGATAGTTTAACTTACATAATCATCACCTCATCCTTCTATGTCCATTTCATTCCTTTTGGAGTTCAAGACTTGGTTTTTTATAGAGAATTTCTTATGATCAAAATTTGTTGAGTATTAAATAGAAAAGAAAATTCTGTCAGTCTGTAAGGGTGTGAGGTTGAGCCTGTGGAACGCGTGCTGAGTGCTCTGCGCAGGCTCGCCATCACTATTGTGTAGTAGCAGTCAGTGTAGGATGCAGACTGTTTCCTCTTTGATCATTTGTCTGAGACCCAGAACCCTCCTCACCTTTATGAAAGAATCCTAGATCAGGAAAAGACCTTGAGAAATTATTTACTTATTTACTTGTGCATCAGAAGCTCCCAGCCTTTGTCGTATTTGATGGTTGAGAATTTTAGCCATAGTATAGGTTTAGTGATACAAGAATAAATACATACCTCCCTTGCTGAGTCCCTAAGGAGCAAGGCTGCTTTCATTTAAGTGTCTTGTTGCCTAACCCTGGAACTGACAGGCTGATGGCACTCCGTGAAAGTGAGCTTTGTTAGAAGAATGAAGAATCACTGGCTTTTTCCTATCCATCCTCTGTGGTACTGTGGACTACTCAAGTTTTTTTAGTTGTTTTAATCACATGTCTCATGCACTAGACAGCATCAAGACAGCCACGAGATTGTGGATCTGTCACATGTAAGCGCAGTGCAGACAGAGGGCTTTATAAGACGTTCTTTCAGGTCTTTTGAGTACTGAGATATTGTGTGTGAAACTAAAGAAGATAAGCATTTGTCTTTCCTTGTTCAGTAGCTAACCTTTTCCCAGTGGATGTGCTTTTGGTTTCTCAGGTGTGGGTTGCTGATCGAGGAAATAAAAGAATCCAAGTATTCAATAAGGACACTGGGGAGTGGTTAGGAGCGTGGAGTGACTGTTTCACAGACGAAGGACCTTCTTCTGTCAGGTGATTTTTTTCTGTGTATTTGGAAATGCTCATTTTAATTGATTTGTGTTACTTCCTCTGACTAGCCAGATGAAGGTTTAAAATACTCATTGTAAATTTTAAGCAGAGGGTCTAGGGATATAGCTCAGTAGTACCATGCTTGTCTACTATGTGCAAGGCCCTCAGTATCATCAAAAAAAGAAAGAAAAGAAAAAGTAAGAGGAAATGGATTGAAACAAGTGTACAGAGAAATTTGACCTTAGATTTTTGAATGTTGGATAAATTAAAATGCCAGATAAACTGCTCTGTGGTATCCCAGTATCAGAAAAAAAAAAGTATGCTAGATGTCTCCTGGAAGTTTGGGCAAATTTTTAAATGAATAAGCAAAGTAGAAGTTTGAATGTAGCTTAGAGTTCTTTTAGTTTTATTTTAATACTGTCCTATTGATAATTTTTGCTTTAAATTTAAGCTAATCTTTGTCTCTGCTATCCCAGGTTTCTTAACAGAATCAGGTCAATTTTAAGTTCTTAAAAGAATCATTCAGCTGCTAAATGCCTGCTGTTGGTCAGCACTGTAGGGAATGGAAATGTTGAGAAAGTCAGCGTGTATGGTAAGCTTGCTGTGTGAATGGTCTTCCCCCAGATTCACTCCGGATGGGAAGCACTTGATCGTGGCTCAACTGGGCCTCAGCAGGCTGCTGGTGCTGGCCGCGCCCCCAGTGGGGAGCATTGGCACCTGCTCTGTGGTCAGCACCATCCAGCTGCCAGACCAAACTCTGCCACACCTCCTAGAAATCGACCACATGACGGGAGCCATCTACGTAGCAGAAATCGGGGCAAAGCAAGTGCAAAGATATGTCCCTTTGAGCACCTATGTTCCTGCATTCAGTACATAGTGGGTTTTTTTCTGAAAGTATTTCAAGTGTCAGTTCAAATTCTCAGATCTGTTAATTGTTTAAAAATGGGCTTCAAACACAAAAAAATTATTTTTATATAATCTGGTTACTAAAAGATCTATGTGTAGGTTGTTATATGTCAACATGTTGTTGCCATTTATGTGACTCAGTTTTATTCACTAAGTGCATAAGGATATTTTAATGTAATTTTAAAAATGGAATCAGAAAGAGGAACCAAGACTGTAGCCAAGTTCCTAGACCTGGTAGATTAACTTTTCCTGGTAAAAAAGTAGGAATAAAAGTGGATTCCTAGGATAATTCATTGAATTTCATGTGAAGAACTAGCAGCAAACCTCCAGTTTGTTGAACTACATGAAATAGGCCCCCTTGAGAGATCGTGGGGACTGGGGCCCTGGGTAGCTGAGTGCGCCCGCAGGCAGATGCTGAAACTATGAAACAAGCTCCCACTCTTGACCCTGAGGAGCTGCGAGCCAGGCTGGAAAGCAGGAGCAGGCAGCACCACAGCAGCACCTGACTCTGGACCTAACGCTCTGGATCTAATGACATCCAGGGAGGCTGCAGGGAAAGTCAGCTCAAGCTCAGACTGACAGTCTGCAGAGGAAACAGCATGGTTGGAGGTGAGAAGTTCTAGGAAGGTGCAAACTTGCCGAGAGCTTTGGTCCACATTCAGACCTTGGTCATCACAGCCCAACTTGCCGTTGCTTCTTTAGCTGTAAGATCTTCATGTCAGTCCTTTAGCGTGCAATGAAATGGCGGCATCGGAGCACTTTACCGAAAGTTTTTAAAAAATACATAGAAGTTTTTAAAAGCTAATCTTAGAGCTAGGATCCCTCCTCAATTTTTTTTAAAGCACAAAATAAGTTCATTCATAAAATTTGTCTACCTCAAAGAAATTTCAGGGATATTTATATGGATATATGCCAAACCCTTGGAGTTACTCAGATGCAAACTTCCCTGCCTTTCTGTTCCTGTACCCTCTCCCATTGGTCTGAATATTGGCTTCCTAACTGGAGTGCTTTTTCAGTTCGTTCTAGTGTACCTTTTGGTAGAAGCTGGCCACATTGCAGTCTTTAAGGCCACTCTCGCCCTCGCCTCAGTCCACTCCCATCTTCGTCACAGGGTCTTACTGTGAGTGCGGCAGCGTACTGAAGGCCCGAGCTGACTCTGTGAGACATCTGTTCTGTTTTCCAGGCTGAAGGCACTCATGTGTTCTGATGCTTTGGATCAGTGCAGTTAGGAAGGTAAGTTAGTAGCAATTGCAGACCCTGTCCTGATCCCAAGGCCCTTGGTAAATGTATTATGCCACTGATCAGACTACATGGTTTTTAAGGAGTTGTCTTAGTTTTCTCTTTAGTAATGTGGGAACTTCATTTTTTCCTTCTGCATGGGTGCTGTGGGGATCACAGGTGAGGCAGATGTAAGGGTGCCTTGAAGTTTGCTATAGGAGTGCCCCAGGCATTTAGTAATGGGTCTTTCTAAATGTGCGTGTACATGGTACCAAGGGCAAGGATTTGTGTTGGTGGCTTTTATCAGAATGCATCCTGATGAACCATTCTGCATTAGGCTAGCATGATCAGTTGATTTGGATTTAAAAGAATAATTTGAAGCTTTCTTTTTGTTTGTGAACCATGACAAGAAGTACAAATATGCCTTGGAAGGAATGTAGGTTAGCTAAACTGATTCTATTATTTCTAAAATGTCTTGCTTAACTTTTACATCAGATTTTTATAAAACTTGCTGAAATGTTCTTGTATATCTTACAAAAAGTGATTGCTAGCATACTTGAAATTACAATATTTTGCCTTTTTCTTTTGGATGTGTTAGTTAAATGAATGAGAAATGTGTTTTTTCATTAAAAATGCATATTAAAATTGTGGAAAGGTCATTGTCATCTGGTTGTCCTATTGAAGATTAATTTTATTTTCCTAAGAGCAATTTATAGCTTTTTTCTATTGAAGAATTTCAGCAATCCTGTGATCACAAGTTGGTGCTAAGAAAATATACCTGTCTTCGCCACAGCAACCATTAGAGAACAGTAGCCATGGCCCTCCGATATTCCATGGTCACGGGCCTCAATAAGGGCCACAGGGTGACTAAGAATGTGAGCAAACCGAGGTACAGCTGCTGTCACAGATGCCTCACAAAACACACCAAGTTTGTGCGGGACATGATCAGGGAGGTGGGCAGCTTCGCCCCCTATGAATGGCAAGCCATAGAGCTGCTCAAGGTCTCCAAGGACAAACGCGCCCTCAAGTTCATCAAGAAAAGGGTGGGGACACACATCTGTGCCAAGAGGAAGCATGAGGAGCTGAGCAACATGCTGGCCACCATGAGGAAGGCAGCTGCCAAGAAGGACTGAGCCCCTCTGGAACAAAGTTTTGCAGAAAATTAAAAAAAAAAAGAGATTATACCTGTCTTGATACACAAAGAGGATAAGCTGATATGGATAAATATTGGTGGTCATTGCTGAAAGACTTAAATAATATGGCTTCATTTGAGAGAGTGGTGTGTACAGCTGACAGAAATAGCTAGCTAATTGCATTTCTGCACTAGAAGTAGAACATTTTATCCCTCCACTTTCTAGGTTTATTCCTGGTATAGAAGGGGTGGTTCCAAGGGGATAGGTATCAGAAATCCAAGGATACTATTTATCTTTCATATAACAAAAGAAGCCTCAACTATGAGGTTGAATTATTAGAGAAAACTTGGGTTCAGTCGAAGTGATTCTCTTTGCTAGTCAAAGAGAATCCATAATTTGTTTTTAGCTCACTAACAAAAGACTGCTTCAAACACTGGCTGTAAGGCTATGCCAGTGAAGTCTAAGTTTTATTTTTGTGGTTTTAAACATTCTTGCATTTGAAAGTAGTATAAATTGTGCAGCTAATGTTAAAACTGAAAGTGTTTAGATTTCTACTTTTTAGGCTTACTAAAACCAGAATCACAAAAAGTTGTGAATTCATGACTTTAATGTGTTCTCTTCTCTGTGATGTATTTTCAGCAATAATCAAATTTTTAAACATCAGTAAGTCTTTGTTCGCTGAAAAAAAATTGTGAGACAATAAGCAATATGAAATTGTATAAGCAAATGTTCTCTGCCCCAGTAGTTTGCTGCTGATTTGGAAAAAACATTTCTTACACCTTTGTCGGTTTGTGGTTCCTGGGAGATATCTTGTGTGTTACAGTCTTGAGACAGAAGAGGGCGGTAGAGTTCTGCTTGTGATAAGTGGTTATTAAATGTGAGCAAATGTTGCTCTCCTTTATACATTTAACTTTTTAAAATTAAGTCTGTTATCGCTGGTCGTTATTGCTGATCAAACTTTTCCTTTTCTCTTCAGCTTGTTTACATCCTTAGCAAGTTGGTGTAGAGTTGACACATTTTACAAGGGTTGTTGGAAATTTCCACTATTTAATTGGACCTTTTTCCATTTAAGAAATTTCAGTAATTCAAATTACCAGCCCAAGTTGAGCAACTCACTTGAAACATAAATGAGACTATGATTATGAATTTACTACAATGGAAAACATATTCATATTAGAAAAACATTCTCTTTTTTTGCTGTTTATTGAATTTGCCTCAAAGTTGCTGATTATTTTATGAAAATAAATTAAGGCCAAAATCTTTTTTTTTTCTTTCTTCTTTTTTTTTTTTTTACAGAGGTTATGAGCAGAATATATTTATCGAGAAAAAGAAAGTTCCTGTCCCGAGAGAGGGA